GTCCCTGAAAGTCATGCAATAGAGAACGACACAGAGCGTTAGCTTGCCTTAGCTTCGCGTTGGCCTCGCGTGAGACTCGCGCTAGCCCTGCGTTAGTCTCACTTCTTGGAGCTCTCGAAACTTTCTCTCTTTACAACGTGCACTAGGCTTTCGTTTGTGTGGCCACCCCATTCTATTTTCCTCTTCCTCTATCTATCCCTATAACTATCCTATTCCAATTTCACTAATGTTTCCTTTGAAGGATTTTTTGTTGTGAGTGCAGTGTAAGACTAACTGAACTGTGTTTTGTTTATTTTTGTGACCAAAAAAAGGTCTGGTTTTCACGTTTCAGCGATAAGGCAACTCACACTATTGGCACAAACTAACAAATTGCCGCGGAGTTGGGGGCGGAGCACCTGCAGAACACAACTTGAGCTGGTGGTAGTCGGCGTGCCAGCAGCGTTGTGCTAGTTAGCCCGAGACATGGCATTTCCTCTCTTTCTCTCTCACTCTCTCTCCCTCGCTCCCTCCCTCCATCCCCCGTCTCCCTCCGTCTCCTGTCAAACACCGCCGCTCTGTGTGGACGTGCTTGCCGATCCCCCCCCCCCCCGGTTTTCCTCCCCGGCCGCGCCCCGCAGCTCGATGGTGTTCGTCAAGTGCAGGACTCTGCCGCGAGGGAGCGCTGCCCGCAGCGGCACCCAGCGCTTTGCTCCTATAAAAGAACGACTATCTGGAAGACAAGTAGCGGAAGAGAGAATACGTGCGAAAACATTGCGATTCAGTGTTTTTCAGTAGAAATCGTTCGTCAGATCACCTGCCACTTGTCAACTTGACTTGGCAGTTATAAGAACCAAAAGAGTTTTTGGCTACCCTTTAACGTTCACAATTTCAGTAAATAGCTTGTTTCACTTCATTTTTATACGGTCCCCAGACTCTCTATTTTCCAATTTTCCACGCATCTGATGCGATGCATTCGAAACAAACTTGCACACACTTCATAAAGTAGTACAAGTACCTGGTGGTACAGAGGGGGTGGGGACGGGAGGGTAGTGGAGTGATCGCCACACCCACCCCCCTCACTCGCGGGGTTCCGCCCCTGGTGCGTGGGGGGGGGGGAGGGGAGGGGAATGGGGGAAGGGTAGCAGGCGTTGCGTTGAGGGCCGGGACGCGGCTCAGCACTAATTTGCTCGGGCTGCTAGTCTGGAAAAGAGGATTCTGCAAATAGTGCCTGCAGCGCACCATCCGTCGTGGAGCCACCCAAGCTGGCGCGTCCGCCCCACCCACCCCACCACGACCCCCGGCACGCCACGCCTCCTGGCCCTGGCCTGATGATTATTTGATCCTCGTTTGGTAATGCGGTGGAGACGAATGGAGAGGAGAGGGGAGGGGAGAGAAATGGGAGAGAGTGGGAAAAAGTGAAGAGGGGAGAGTGAGGGAGGAGAAGCGGGGTTAGGGGACTGGAAGTGAGTGAGAGAGACGGACATACAATGACGCCCTGGAATAAAGGAGGAGGGCGCAGCAGCGAGCGCGCCGCTGAGCCGCCCTTCTGGCAACAGACAGTCAGGCAGCCTGATTCATTCCGGCCTTCAGCAGCAATTCTCTGAAATAAATGGTCTAATCGAGGCGACTACGCCCTGGAATACCAAACAGCTTTGCCCCCCCCCCCCACCCCACTCCTTCTCGTACCTCCCTCATCTCTCCCGGACCCCTTGTCTCTCCCAGTTACCCCCCCTTACCCCCGCCCTTTCTCCGTGTTCGTTTCCGCCCCTTCTTTCGTATTGTTTGTCTCTTTCTCCTTTCTGTCTGTATCCCTGCCCACTCTCCCCCTCCTCGCTGTCTCTCTCTGCCTCTGTCTCCCTCTTTCTCTTTCGTTTTTGTTTCCTTGGCAATATCCTAACGATACCAATTTTGGCGTGGGCCTACTGGTCCCCCCCCCCCCCTCTCTCCCTCACTTCGTCCCTCCTCGTCCCCTCGAAAGGTTATAGTCGTGCGCAACCTGTGGAGCGCAGCAGCCTCGGCGCCATACATATTTATACTGCGAGCCGGCCTGGCGGGGGGAATTAGAAGCCTCCCCCTCCCCATCTCCCTCTCTCTCTCCCCCTATCTCTCCTCCTCTCTCCCTTTCTCGCACTCTCGCTCTCTCAGTCTCCAGCCGACCGCCTTATGTGAGATTTACATTTCTACCTCCGCGCGGTTCGCGCTTCCTCGTCGAAGTCCCTCCCATTCCTCTCCTCTCTCTGTCTTTTTCTCTCTTTCTTTTTCTGGCATGGTGCTAGTGACCGCGCAGTTCATGGCTCTCGCCACGCTTTCCCCGGTACACGTAGCGAGGATTATGGCTATGCCAAGAGAGTGATGTCGATAGCGCGATGGAAAATGCAACAATGTCTGGCATCCCTTGTGAAAAGGATAGTTTTGATGTGCCTAGTACCTTTAATGCCCTTGACAGGTGAAGAGTTCCCGCTCACAACTCTTTCTACCTTTTACACTCACATCCACATCCAAAAACATGCTCTTAAAAATGCATTGTAGAGCTTTTTCTACCCTGAACGCGGAAAGCCGTCAATTTGTGTTTACATCCAAGTTGCTACGTTTTCTTATCAAATGTCTCGAAATTTCCCGCCCAGAGCGCTGCCTGGCGCGAGTAAATGGAGCGTAGAGTCCATAGGCGGCGGCCTCATCGCCCCAAAGACATTCCCTCAAGTACCGTCCGCCGGCTGATACGCAGGTCGGGGCGGGGTGAAGCAAGGCGAGGCGAGGCAGAGTTGGGTGGGGCGGGGTGGGGCTGGGCGCGGCGGGCCTCACCATCGCACCATTTATCTTTGGGTCCTAACATCCCGGGGCCGCTCGAGAGACGGTCCGAGCCGTGGAGAGAGAGAGAGAGAGAGAGAGAGAGAGAGAGAGAGGTGCGGGGGTTGGAGATGGAGAGTTGGGTGGGGGGGGAGAGAGACAGGGGAGAGCGGGAGAGGGGGAGAGGGGCTCCGGTCAGGGAATGGTAAGGGCCGCTGGGTTCTAACGAGCTAGTCCAGTCCGCCCCGCCTGCCACGTACTGCCCCGTCCCAGGCGGCCAGGCCCGGGCAGGGGGATCATGTGCCCCCCCCTCTCTCTCCCTCTCTCGCTCTCTCCACCGCGAGCTCATACCGGGCGGGGAGAGCGGCGGGGCGCCGCTACTTGGAATCTGTTACACCCACACTGCCCGTTGAGCGCATTAGACGAGAAGTAACGTTCGCCCCCCGCCGCAACTACCCCTACTGCGGGGGCTCCAGTTAAATTGAGGGAGCGGTGGGGGGTAAGCCCCGCACCCTCGACTGGGGGATCTCCACGGCCCCGCCCCGCCCGCCCCGGGCACCTTCGACTGGCTGCCTGCCTCCGACCCTCCTCTCCATCTTTAGTGGCTTAACTCACCTCGCCACTGAAACCTTGCTGGCCGGCGACACGGAGCCCCGCGCCGCCGCAGCCCAGATACCACAAGCCACTGCGATAAACAACGATTGAAGTAGATTTTATTGGAAGTATTCGCTTTGAAATGTTTGTTGGGTTGCGAACTGTTGCAAATTTTCGATATACGCTTTTGTTAGTACATACTTGGAATTTTACGACGCGCAAAATTATTGCCCGTCAGAAGTTAAAAAGATAAAGCAACAAAGATGGTGAATTTCGTTGCCTGTCCGGTCCGGTCCCGCTCCGAGCGCCTGCGGATCCCCGGGTAGGCCACCCGCCCCGGCGGCGAGCGCGGCGGGACTGCCTACCCCGGGGTCTACAGGCGCTGGGCCCCGACGGACACCACGGCCAGCACCGTCCGCTCGACTGCGGTATTCGTCTGTAATTACAACATCCGCTCAATCAGTTGAAAATGGTAAATTTACCTCAGCTCGGTCGGTTGTGAATGGTAAATTTGTAACATTGGTTGTAAATGAAAAATTTACAACTGGAAAATTTTTAGATTTATAAATTGTGAACTAAAAAAATTATTGTAAAACCATAAGAAACTGCTGACAGTGGCCCCGCGGGCGTGGGGGAGCAATAATTACGTTGGAGTGGGACGGGGATGGCGCAGTGCGTTTCTCTGAGGAAAGCCGCGTCGTCAGCCCTCCGTCGTTACACTGGAGGCGGGGCGGGGCGGGGCGGGCATCGGGCCACACCAGGGACAAGCCGACAGTGGTGCCGAGCCACGCCGCCCCACGCCACAGCGCGCGCGCGCCCTTTTTGCGCCGACATCCGTCCGGCATCTGCTGCTGCGCTGCTGGGACAAAAGGCGCGGTGGCGGGGCGGGGCGAGGTCTGGTTGCGGACGGATTAGCCGGCCTGATCCGCCCCTGCCGCGCCCCGCCAAGCCCTGCGTGTTTCTTCAGCACTGCCGGCAAAAACACCCTCTGCTCTCTCACTCTCTCTCTCGCTCTCGCTCTTTCCCGGGCCGCGCGCGGCCGGCGCCCTTTTCATGCCAAACGCCATTGAGCGACACACGGCCAACTGCCAAGCTCATTTGGCGCGAGCGCAGCGCGGAGCGAGCGAGAGAACCCGCGGGGGCGAGAGAGTGAGCGAGAGAGCGGGAAGAGAGAGAGGCGGGGTCGGAAGCCGAAAAAATGTTAACAATGCGCCGCGAAAATTAATTAACGGCGTTTTTGCCCAGAGCGGCGTTGGGACGTGTCTCCCTGTGAAAAGTTGTCGCCGTCACCCGGGTGTAGTGTGCTTACTTTCTGCGTGGTCTTTGGGGAGGGCGCACTGGGCCCGTCTGGGCCCGTCTGACCCCTTCTCTCCCTCTCTACCCCTTCCCCTCCGCTCTCTCCTTAATTGAGTGTGTGTGTGTGTGTGTGTGTGTGTGTTTGTGTGTTTGTGTAGTTTTGTCTGAGTGTGCATGCGCGTGCGTTACCGTTTGAAGGCTCTCCCGTTGTACGTACTTTTCACTTCCTAGTCCGAGCCCCGCTCCGGGCGGCCCTTGCGCCGGAAGTGGCCTGACAGGTCCGCCACGGCCGCTCCGCGACCTCTTGCTCTCGTCTAACGCCACTCTCCCTTCACTTGTTGCAGGCTACCTGCACGACCTGATGCCGGACGCCGAGTCGTCGCAGCCCGAGACGGGCGGCGAGCAGCAGTGCGCCACCGAAGTGAGCAGCGACGGCGGCATCCCCATCTTCCGCATGCGCTCCGTGGAGGAGACGGAGGCGGCGCACGACCTGCTCGAGCTGTCGCGGTCGCTGCCGCCCCTCGCGCCCCCGGGCGTCGCCACCTACCAGCCCAACGACCCGGCCTCGTCGCCCAGGTCCGCGCCGACCGACCAGATCACGCTGCACTACCGGTACGAGGCCGGGCACGGCGGCGAGGACGCCGACGAGGACGCCGACGGCCACCCGGACCACGAGTACACCAACCTGCCGTCCGTGTCGTCGTCGCCGCCCCCCTCGCGGCCCACCATCATCTGCTACACGCCGCTGCAGCAGCAGCACCACCCGGCGCCGCCGTCGCCCAGCCCGCCGCTCACGCCCTCCTACACGAGCGTGCAGATCCTCTACCAGCCGCCGTCCCCCGCGCCCTCCTCGTGCTACACGTCGCCGACGACGCAGCCGCTGACGCCGCCCACGTCCGAGTACTCGTCGGACGCGGAGAACAACAACCCCAACGGCACGTCCGTCATCCAGCAGCCGAGCAGCCAGAGGGGCAGCATCGTGGTCGAGAGGTCGACGACAACGCGGAGCGAGGCGGCGGCCGCGGCGCAGCAGCGCGAGGGCGGCCCGCGCCTCGACTGGAAGGTCGAGGTGCTGCCCGTCAACTGCAACGTGGTCATGCCCAAGACGGGGCAGCCGCGCGCCATCTACACGTACGACGCGCTACGCAGCACCGACGGCCGCAGCAAGCGCACCAACAAGAAGAAGAAGGTGGCCGTCGCCTCGGACGACGAGGAGGACGACGACGCGCCCTCCATCAAGAAGGGGCGCTACGTGTGCGGCGAGTGCGGCAAGCGGTACGCCACGTCCAGCAACCTGTCGCGGCACAAGCAGACGCACCGCAGCCTGGACTCGGGCTCGGCGCGCCAGTGCAACGTCTGCGGCAAGGCCTACGTGAGCATGCCGGCGCTCGCCATGCACGTGCTCACCCACCAGCTGACGCACGCGTGCGGGGTGTGCGGCAAGCTCTTCTCGCGGCCGTGGCTGCTGCAGGGCCACCTGCGCTCGCACACGGGCGAGAAGCCCTACGGCTGCGCGCACTGCGGCAAGGCGTTCGCCGACCGCTCCAACCTGCGCGCCCACATGCAGACCCACTCGCAGGACAAGTCGTACTCGTGCCACCGGTGCCACAAGACGTTCGCGCTCAAGAGCTACCTCAACAAGCACCTCGAGTCGTCCTGTTCCAAGGACGACGACGAGGGCAGCGACGCCAGCAGACCCATCTCGCCTATCTAGTTGTAGAGGACCTTGTAATCCACGGCCTGCTCTCTTAGACTTTCTTTAAATACTCTATACTACTCATTCTGCTTTCTACTTACGGTTTTTTCGAAACTACTCTTTCCCTTTTTCGCCCCTTACATTTCTATTAGGCCCTTGCGGTTTCTTTTCTCTTCCTGATCCCGCCCTCCCCCTTGACGCGTGCCTACTGCATGCAATGTGCCTATGTACTGCTTGTCAATTCCTTTCACTCCTCAATCAGCGTGTGTTTCGTGGAAGTGCAGCAAAAAGGCCTAAAAGAGGAACCCAACCGACTGAAACAAAACTTTGACAGACAGGCCATCGTCTGACGCTGCTCATATTGACCAGGCTTTGCCGTGTACAGGCCTAAGAAACCAGACTTGTAACCAGCAGCAGCTTTCCCAACGCCAGACCTCTGCGTCTGGACAGGGCCGCTCGACCCAGCGGCAAACTCCCACCCCAGTGCTGTGACATAAACTAGTCTATTTATGCACGCTCTCTGGGCTACCTGAGCGATGCGCTTCCGGGCAGCCAGAAGAAGTGTTCATCGCTTTATTTATTTTTACATGAACTAGTCTTACTGTAAAAGTAGTGCAATTCGAGGAGATTTTTAGCCGTACTTAACTAATTAAGTAATTAGGTATGTCGTATTTATTATCTGTTTGTTCCTTTTTTATGTTCAGACTCAACCATTGGAATGCAGATGAGACTTGCGCTACAAGAACCAATGCAGTAGCAATACGTCCTGTCTGAACCAAACAAATCGCCAAATGGTACTCTGATGGCTACACGATATGTGATATGTAGCTAGTCATTTTACCTGTATATACTTTTAAAAATGTGCTCTGGAATTTCAAACCCTTCAATCATGATTCCGATTCTTGCGCACTAAATTTAAATTCTCTTGTGGAATGTGTTAAGTAAAGGAGCAATCAAGAAAGTACCATATGGCGATATGTTAAAAGAAGACTATTATATGGTTCTCAATTCTATTCACAATTGCATTTAATTTCAAGCAATCATTTTAGTATTACTTCCATACTTTTAATTCTCCATGTATGTAACACAGCTATTAGAAGCGCTTCACTGTAACGCAGAGACTTGGTTTTACATACTGTCTGTAAGATTTCATTTCTATTGTTTGAACTCGATGACTCAGGTGTTTTACAAATCCGTGATCTCTAAAAGCAATTTTAAAGAACGTCATCTCATTGCCATACATATTTTAAGAGCGTTCTCATACTCATTTGACATATGTTAACTTTAAAAACTGTTCACTTTCTAAACTCATAGTTGCTGCATAATGTTTGCATCTTTTATCTCTTCTTTTAGCTCTCAATTAGGACTTAGATACAACTTAATATGAAATAGCCGACACAGGTTTCTGCTCAATTTAGCCCTAGGCTTTCGTTTATGGCCACATCAGTACCGTGGCGGAGAGAAGTAAGAAATATCATGTCAGTTCTTTTTTCTTTAATCTGATAATAAAATCACCATCGCTTGTACATAAAAAAAAGTATTTTGATGCTAACTTTGGTAAAAAAAATTCTCATCGTGCATGTGGTTGTTGAAAATTAGGATAGTGACAACTGCAAGGAAATGAATAATTCATGCGAGTGTATCGTGTAGAGGAGAGGAAAGTAAAGCTTAGTTCGTTAAAGAAAAGTGTCTGAAAACACTGTTTACATCCCCCTTGCTTGTACGTTCGAAAAAATATAGTCTCTCACCTGGTACGTATAAGGCTCATTTAAATTGGAACGAAAGCAATACTCTTTTTGAGAATTTTATTTGTAAGTGATTCGTAATTTTTTATGTTGAATTTGATACTATACTAGAATGATGTTGAGCAAGAATGCCGAAGTATCATTGCCTATAGGCCCTTACTTGTAATCTCAGCGTTTCTAAAATAGGAATGATATGATCAACCAATAACAAGGGCGTGCATATGGTTAAAGCTCGAACGTAGTTAGAATTTGATATTAAGTTTTCACATACGTAAACGTTTTGTTACCTGACAACTCAAAAGCAATACCTAGAAAATTGTGAATTAAATCAATTGTAGATCGGAAATATGTTTAAATTTCTCTTGAGATTGATAAAATGGTTTTTAAATGCCTTGGTTTAAGAACGCATTGCTGTCTGTTCTGTTTTTAAAACTTTAGCAATAATTTAAAGAGAAATAAGGAACCGATGTGATTTTCAGGCCATAAGACTGGAAAAATCTCAAATCGGCATAATGTTTTTAAATAAAAGAAATCTTTGTGAAAAAAATGTTTAGGTCATTACTAACAATATCATGTCGAACCCCAACTTTTGTTGATGTATTTTTCAAATCATTTGTGACACTCATTTTATAGAAGAATTTTAAAGTATTCATCTTTTATTATTTCCTGGCTCAACAGATGTAGGGAAATTTTGCTATTATGTGCATGCATTGGTGAGTATGGTTCATCAGGATATTCAAGTTGATTCATGTAGTAGTCTGTATAAACATACTTTTTGGAAAAAGACTCCTGTAAATGACATGCACGAACTTGTCATAAAGTCAATTTTAAACGTTCAATTTTAAAGTGCTGTGTGGGGATCATTAAATAATTACCTCTTGTAAACTCTAGCACCTGTGATTAAAACCACAGTGGGCCTGGTTCCCAACAGTCGATATTGTACTTACTTTTGTGTAATGATATCCATGTTTTAGTAGGTTTTGTATTTTACACATAAAATAGTGAAATTCTAGCAGAAAAATTTAAACCAGCATTTTTGGCATTGCATTCCACTATTTTGTCCTAGTCCGAAAAGATCTGGAAGTTCAAGGGACTTATATGAAACTACTTTAATGGATGGGACATTCATAATTCTATGAGTGGCGAAGTTTGGAATCACCTGTGGAATGTTTTTTCTCTGCGGTGACCCCACATGGTGTTGGCTCGGTGAGGATATTTTTGTACAAGTTGTATGTAGAAGAACATTTAGGACGAATGCATTTGAAAGTAATCTTATTATCTTATTAAATAGTTCAAATTGTACTGGTAGCAGTGGCATTCTTTATTTCAAACTCTTTAACCCAAAACACAGACACTAACACTGTCCAGTTTCTGTATTACCTTTCACAAACCTAAAAAAAAAACGCGGTGGTTTGAGAAATGGCTAGGGCGTTTACACCGTCCCTCTGTAAGAAGGTAAACGTGGAGTAGGACGTTATGTCTAACCAGGCAATAAACGTGGCTCAGCAGTTTTCGAATGCAGTATGCATCTACCCTCTCTTTCAAGCCACCGTAATAAAACGCAACGACCTGAGATAAAAAGTGTCGTAAAGCACGCTTAGCTTTAAAAGCGAAGTTGTTGATGGCCGCTCTATTTGTCTCGACTTTGTTGCCGAAATATAAGTGTCCATCCAATCAGCAAAAAAACGAGCAGAGAAAACGGGAAACGGTAAAAACAAGATAGTAACCATTTCCATTCTACAAAAACCAGGGAATACCAGGATTTTAGATTGCGACAGGAAGGCCTATTTTTGGAGCTTTTGCTGCCTGCCTGTCCCAGCAGTGCCTGCCTACAAGCTAAGCAGAAGCAGCCCCAGGAAGTGCGCAGGAACGATGCTCACAATGCATTCCCCCGCAAAAGTCTCTCAGCTGGTTACTCCTTTCACCCCCCCCCCTGCTCCTCTTCCTCCACATTTATCCTTTATCTTCTAGGTTATTTATGGTCCGCGCTTTTGTGTGTTTTGAATGCCCGTGGACTTCGTGCGTGGGACCCGCCCGGTATGTGCTCGCTTCTCTCAGATAAAACTGACGAAACACTACTACAGTTTTCCGCCAAACCCACCCCGTTGCGTCAACCTCATAACACGGGGGCCATGATAATACTGCAAACACAAAATTTGCACTAAAAACCCAAGTTTGTGAACCTATCCCACACTTGCGGGTGTGTGAATTGCAATTCACGCACTTATTACTTTGAAGCGAGCAGCGAGAAAGCATTTCTGCAGTCCCGGTCAGGAGCACTCTACTCCCTGTAATCAGCTTGCTCGCGCTCTGCGGCGGACAACTAAGCCAGCACGGGCGTAAAGTGAATGTCCCACTCGCACACATGCCGCCGCATTCATGTGTGCTTTTCATAGGCCACGTTCCACTCGCGGGCAAAGCCCGGCTTGTGCCCGCGTGGTGCCAGCTACGCCCACGCAGAGCCCGGGGCACGAGCGCTCTGCGCCCAGTGCGGGCCACGGAACATCCCGCTATCGTCGCAGATCCACCCGAATTCTTTGTAGAGCGGTGCCAAACGCTCCGCAGAGGAAGCCACGCTCGTTAAGGAGACACCTTTAAAATTGCTTCATCACATCTTTGCTGGAGTGCTGAGGAAATTTCGACTGCGGCGCTCATGTAAAAGAGAGTGAAAGGGGCTGTTTCAGAGCTCTCTAGATGCAGTAAACTCTTAACAACTGATAAATATATGACTCAAACATACATTTTGAATTTTGTTTTCAGTCTGTGGTGCGTATTTTTGACCGAGCTGAGTGAGTGTCAGGGTGAACGAAGATTTAGATAGAGAGGTGAGAAAAGACGGATAGCGAGTGCGGGAGAGTACGTGAGGAGCTGGGGAGGCAGAAGGGGCGAAGGGAGGGGGCGCGGAGAGCGGCGCAGAAGAGGAGAGGGGGAGCGTGCTTTGCATAGCCAGCCAGTCCGGGCCACTCGCTGTTCGGCCAACAACATGCAAATGTGTGGGGAGGATGTTAGATGGAGGAGGGGGGGGGGGGGATGCGCAATGGAGTTGGGGGGAGGAGGTGGTAGATGCTGTTCCCTCATATGTATGCAGCTGTGAGGGGGAGGGGGCCACGCTCAGCGTGTAACGAGACCGCGCAACTCAACAGTTGGCACGCCCAGTCGCGCCTGTCGCCTGCTGCTTTCTGTTGCAGCCGTAGACGGATGGATTTTTAAGAAATTGAAAAAAAACACGAAAAGAACTAAGATTTAAGGTGGGGAATTACACAACTTTGTTTTCCAAATGAGCAGCACACATTTAATATTGAAGGAAAATATGTACTTCGCGGACCCAAGAGACATAGGGACCTGGACACCTGGGGTACCTCGAGATCCTCCTTTTAGGGGGTTATTGCTGCTTTAACTATCGTTCGCCGTCACTAAGCGCGACACTAATCGCCAAGCTTTTTCCTACCCTTGCTTTGGAACACCCTGTCCGCTAAGAGTTCTTGCCACACTGGACTCTGCACCGTCTGCCGACCAAACTTAAGCCGCCCCGATGCTCGCCCACGCAGAGATGAGCGTTCCCACGTTACTGACGACCGGTCAGCTCTCTGCGTGCTAGCCCGTCTATCGAGGAGGGTGCTGGGTTATGGCGCGTGTCGACTTGGAAGCCGAAAGAGACCAGGACCGCCCCACGACGCACGGCGGAACCGGAAGTCTGACCAGTACTCGGTGGCGTGGTTGGTCTGTCCTTATCGAAGGATAATGCCCTCAACGACTCATTTTACAAACTTTGCACAGCGGACCTGTTTAATTACACACCCTGTAACTTGCAAACCCCAGTCTTTAGCAAAGGTACGAGCAGTCGTACTAAAACACAGAAGCTATACAAAAAACTCGATGCAAACATGCAAAACTCGCATTAAAAATAGAAAGACCCCTCGGGTTTAAAAGTCGGTGACTATTGTCAAGACATAATTCGTATTCTTTAAAACACAATAGGCGCATCGTTCCTCACTGGTCTGGGAATGTACTCGCTCGTATAAGCGCGTAACACCATCGCTCTCTGGTGGCACTCGCAAAATGCAAAGCCGTCTGCTGCGCTCTCAGTATTCTAAGAGATGTTATTGAAAAGGGGAAAGAACGTTCGTTGTTGATTAGCTACTAGTGTTTACTTTTGTTGATATATGCAAGCAAATTTGTCGTTAACTTAATGACAAAATCATCAAACATCTCATTTGGATGATTTATGATCGTATAAGTTACTTTGAAATAAAGACAAAATTTGTCATAGTTAACAACACTATTTTCGATTCGGCTCTATTAAGATGTTACTAGCTATAAACAAATTCATAGACATTTTTCAAGCGATCGTATTTCTTTTGGCCTTCAATATTGTTGAAATTTAGGTACGGAGGGCTGTGTGACACTCATCAACTGACTAACGTTAAGGCGGCGTGCAAAAAGTACGTCATCGTCTTTTGAGGGGAAACCTCCCCTCACCCCTCCCCCCCTCTGTCACTGTGTGTCACTCTCTGCTCTATCCCCCCCCCCTCCCCT